TCTGCTCTGTTGGGTGTCGCGCGAAGTTTCTGAAAATGTTTTGCCGGGTTCGTTTATGTTGGCATGTGCGTTTTGTGAACCGAAACTTTGATAGGGTTAGGTTCCAGTCTTCAATCTCAGGCATACAGCTTGACAAGTTCAAAGGTTAGCAATTAGCGGCGGGTTTATACTAAAGTATTCGAGTTGAGCCGGATCCTGCAATAGCTTTGTTATGTTGTTTGTTACGAGCAGCCTAAGCGGAGCGTGGTGCGTCGCTGCCGTTTTTGCAAGCGGAAGGGGGATAACGCGCGCGCCCTCTCTCGTGCGTGCAGCAACTTTGCTCATTTCAAGATGGCTTCCTCCAGAGATGGCACGCTTTCCGCGAGTGCTGCAGCTTCGCCGTCACCTAGGTGCCCAGCGGAAGCCGCGAAAACACAGTTTCAACGGTAAAAATAAAAACGCCACCACCACACACGCGTCAAAAGCGCAAACAACACACAGTGAATGCTTGCAATGGATCTGGAACGGAACCTTGCTGGCATTTGAGCGGCTACTATCAAATCAGAGCTTGCTTCTTTGTCAAAAAAATAGACGATTAATACATTGAAAGTAAATTTCTAAATACTTCATGAAAATATAATTTATACGTTATTGTTTTGCTCTGTATACGTGAAAAAAAATGTTTTTTATTTTGTTTACCGGCGATGAAAACGACCAAAGGGCGCTGCAACTGCGAAAGGTCCCCTTCGCTTCCGGCAACGAATAACTAAAAGAGAAAAATCAGCCGCCGCTCCACTGCGGCTTCGCAGGTGCTCCCGGAGCGGGGCTCTAGCTCACTTTAGCGGGGCGGACCACAAAAACGTCAAACTAAAAACCTCTGTTGCCAGCGTTGTGTGTCCGTTATGTATGGCTGGGTCGCTTCTAAGGCGGTAAGTTGGGCCAGTTGGTCAGGATCCATCGTGAACGTATTTACACTGGCAGGCAGTGCCACCCAAACTCCATTCTGCGCGACGCATTTCATAATACTGTCAAGCGACCAGGCGGCCGCTTTCACAGCGCGGGGGAATTAAGCCCAAACTCCATAAGCGCGAAAATGCACGCGACAGCGACGAGCGACGCGACGTAGATCGTCTTCGCGCGAACAGTCGCTCGCGCAGGCAGACCTCATTCACGCGACGGCTTCGGCGAGCGAATTCTACTGTTGCTGGCATGAGGCCGTCAACTCGCACCAAGAAAACCGCGTAGCGAGCGGTTTCCAATATAAAAATAAGATATATTGTTGTGTAATGGAACGGAAAGTGTTTATGAATGCCTTGCAGCAATTTTTTATATGCACATGCGTAAACATTGCGTTATTTCTTGTTGCGCATACGTGACTCGGGCAGGGTCACGTGCACCTATGTAGTCTTTGTCTTTTCCGGTTTTTCACTATTGGCTGCTTGAGCCCAGCACTTCCGGGCGATGAGCGACGGTTTCCAAATCTGGAGAACCGAGCGAACGCGGGAAAACGAGCACGCGACACGTCGCGCGAACGCCCTGTTTCGTCGCTCATAGCGTCGCTCGTCGCTGTCGCGTGCATTTTCGCGCTTATGGAGTTTGGGCTTTAGTGTGAGCGCGACAAGCGAATGACTCTTTATTCTCTTTGTAATCATCATCACCAGTACATCTTCTTCATCTAAAAATATCATCACCAGCGTGATTTAGTTCGAGCCTGGCCGAATAAACCGGTTCCTCACAATATATATAACGCGCGCCTTGTGACCTTGAAAACTTTTTTTTTTGAATACATGGCTTTCTCAGCGCGATCGTGCGCATACGCATGGACAAGTGACGCCCTCCCGCGGTGTACTCTGTAACAACCGAGCGCGCCATGCTCAAATCAGCCAATGGCTGATAGATGGGTTTACGAGTGATTTTTGGGCTTATTGCGCGATTTGTCGAGAGAAGAAAAAGCAATTATTAGCAGACTTTGATAATTTATTGTGAATTTCAGGCCGCGTGCTGCGCTATAATATTTGACTCGCCTGTTGTCGGGAGCCTCCACTACCGATTGGCAGCATTTTCTGACTATGCTCAAAAAGTGTTGCAGGACCCCTTTAATTAAAGGCCTTATTCTGTTTTCTGAGGTCATGTAAACAACCATTTTAGGGAAATAAACTAGCTTTGTGAATTTTCCTCAGTTTAGGCATATATGGGTTAAGGTAATTATTGTTTGCTGCTTCAGACGATGAAGTGTGTACACCCCGCTTCCATGCGAGCGTCAACCACATACTCGATTTACTTGATTAGACCAACACATCAATACAAAATGCTACATCAAAGCAGTGTGTGGCTCTAAGAGCCAGCAATTGGAATTATAAACTAAAAAAAAGAAACGGTAGCATGATGTTGCGCCACGACATCAGAAGCTTACTACGCCATAGAGGAATGTATCAGTCAGTCTAAAAGAATATCGAGCTAAATTCTTCACCCTTTTAAACATTTCAATACTCATATTCCACAATTAAGTTTGTTGTATTAACCATTCCCAGCTTATTCAAGAAGTATTGTAAAGAAACATTGAAAAAAAAAATTCACCTAACAGTCGGCCCATGCCCTGCATTGGGTATAAGCCATGAGAAGAGGAGGAGAAGTCCGTTTCATCGAAGGGCCATCCAGCGGCTTGAGGAGGCTTTGGCGAAGCACCGGAGAAAAGGAGCCGACGACCCGTCTAACGGGCGCGGAGGCACTGTCGCCTAGTCGGAGCACAACATCCTCGAAGTCGAGGCTCTGAGATTATCAGACTCTAATAGCCGTAATCTTAAGGTAGGGAACATCCGCGCCCTGCGAGGCCGGGGACTTCCTACACGCCGGATGTATAAATAAATGTTATTTCTCTCTCTCCGTTTCATGGCCGATCCCCGTGGTGGGTTCAGCCATTCCTCTTCGGTCCAACCAACCAACGTAAAAAGGCGTAACTTTAAACACAGTAACACGCTGCATAAACTACATTGTACTCGAAACGAATGACGGGGTGCAGCACCGAGTGAACTGGTTCAGGTGGTGCAACCTTAAGTCTTTATGACGCGGTCACCGCGTCTATTTTTTCAGATTCGGTAAGCGAATCGTACAGCACTACACGGTTCTTCTCTTTCTTCGCATTCTTCAATGCTACTTCGGCCATGTCTATTAGTGCATCGAGGTTCGACCGCACCGTCAAATCGGCACGTCGCGATGCCCACCGATGCGCTACAGCCGCCGAGATCTCGCAGTTTTCTACGAGTGTCTTCGGTGACTTCGGGTGCCAGACCAGGGACGCCCTCATGAATGGGCTTGATGAGGCTTCTGGCGAATTCGCCGTCTCCCAAGAACGTAAACACAAACTCGTCTCCCCCAAACCGACCCACCTCCACAGTCCCATGCAAATGGTCACCGACGGTTTTGATTATCAGGTGGCCTAGGCTCTTGACGACTCGGTTAGCGTTCAGGTAGCCCAGAACGGTGTTTAGTTTCTTGAAGTTGTCCAGGTCTAAGATGGCAATCGACAGGGGCGATCCGCGCTGAAGAGCCTAGACAAACGCGACTTCGGACCACTCCAGTTAGGGGTCATTTCGAAGCAACAAAGTGGCCAGGTCTTGCACAGCGTAATTGGCCCGTTTTAAAAGCTCCAGTTGCCGCATTCTTGTCGCCAGCTCTAGCAAGGGCCGCCTAAGGGGCTCGGGCGGCCACGGCAAAGGCGCGCCCAGTATGACAATGCCGTGGCAACCGATGAGAAAGAAGTGGAACGTGACAGCCCCGCTGGCGAAGTCGCGTTGTTTCACATGGGGCACGGCTTCGTGCCAGTCAAAGGAACACATTTTCTTATTTTTCGCCAATTCAGTGCAGAGAGACTCGATCTCCGGCTCAGCCTTTTTCATCCAGCGATCGTCTCCCGGGCGGTGAGCCAAACACGGCTTCAGGCGACGCTCGACCCACGTACAAAGGCAGGACGGTTCGACGACGAATGACTCCAACCAGCCAGCGAATATTTTCATAGAATGCGTGACAGATTCTGCTCCTCGAAGTGCCCGGACTGCGTCGTCGAAACCAGCGGCACTTGCCATATCTTCAGCCTTTTTTTTTTTGTTGCTATAAGCGTGGAAGAACGACGGCTCGCTCAGTCGACAGTTGAGGCTTTAGCTTGTAGTCTTCTTTTGTCCGTGTTTTGAACGCAGTAAAAAAAAAAAAAACTCTTTCAAGATGAACTATCTAATATTGGCACTCAGCTAAAGAAAACAAGGGTCGCTAGTTAAGAAGAAGGCACTACAGCCGGTAAGGCAGCACGGCAACCCAAACCCAGCACCGTTCGTGCGCACGCGGGACAAGTCACGAAATGGTGGTGGTGGTAGTGGTTAGAATGAAGAGGAAAAAGGCACCTAATTTCTGTCTGTCTTCAGGCGACACGGCGCAGTGCCTTATAGGGGTGGGGGGAAGGAGGGATAGAAAGAATAGAAGCGCGCCAAGCTGTAGAGCTTTTTTTATATGCAGTTGTGCTCTCACCTGATCGGCTCTCGCAAACGAGCCTGGAATGCACGGAGGAAGGAAAGGTAATGCGTATAATCCACTAGAATGCTGTTTTTCTACCTCTCTCATACTCTCCCTCTCTCATGAGATGACAGCAGCGGCCTCTGTGTAATGTGAAAGAAAAAGTAAATTCAAATGTCTCTGTACCACTCTCTGTACCTTTAGTTTTTGTGCGGTTACGCAAAAACGCCGCTCATTTTAGTTTAAGCCGTCCAAGCATTGATAAGTGTTCTAAACCTTGGGTGTTTTTCGGCCAAGCCAAGCCACACTTCATTCAGCATGGAAGCGGCAGCCGTGTTAGTCGCGGAGAAAAGAAACCTTCCTCCGTGTGTGTTAGTTCTTGCTTGCTGCACTCCATTCCACAGAGTAAGCGCCACGTAAAATCATAACTTGAAAAAGAAAGACAAAGGTGGCGAAAACACTACCTTTTCGCTTCGCACGTTGTACGTGTTCGTGCGGGTTGTAGCATCGCCGGGGACATGCCCGAGAACGTCGTGCGCGAATGGTCGGACTACGCGAAACAAAAAAGACGTCGGCGTCGCGGGTTAGCGACCTCTCGTCCGAAGGGCGTACTGTGGACGGCGCGAGGCTACAAACCGTGCTACCTCTGGGACGTCGGCGAACCGACCGAACGTGGAGTCGCCGAATGCCTTCGCCTCTGCAGGGCGGACTCGGGCAAAGACGACGTCAGGGCATTCAAATTGGGACGCGATGACGTGCTGGTCTGCAACGTTCCCGAGACTCTACAGAGGCTCTTGGACGTCGCCTTTGTGTTCATTGACGTTTCGGCGGGGCTCACCGCCCCGACGGCACCGGCGTCTCCGCCCGAGGGCGTGCTGGCGATGCTGCCGTCTTTGAAACGACGTCTGGCCGAGATGGCCGCGACGCCTGCACGCTGCGACGACAAGCTCGCCTGTTTAGAACCCGACCGCGCGTGGAACCTCTGCACGGCGTTCGGCGTTCTCTTGGGATACCCTGTCGTTTACTGGTTCGAGGGCGGCGCCGACGCCGGGAACTGCCTCGCCATGGAAGAACTGAACGTTGTTAGAGTGCGGTCCGCAGCGTCGTCTGCGGGACGCTCAGAAGGGGTGCCGAGTGACGACGTCTACTCTTTCAGCTTCCCTGCCGCTCTGGATGGCGAGCTGCGACCGCATGTGGACGCTTGGTGGCAGCGACTGCGAGCCAGAGCTGCCGCTGATGACTTCGAGCTCGTCCGAGTCGACGAAATCGGGCGCTATCCCACTGTGGCTCTGTGACCGTCGAATCACCGCGATTCCAACTCACTCTTGTGAAAAAATTTGTCCGTGGCACTGTCATGCTCCATCGTCCTTGTCATTCGCCCCGCCGCGGTGGTCTAGTGGCTGAGGTACTCGGCTGCTGACCCGAAGGTCGCGGGTTCGAATCCCGGCTGCGGCGGCTGCATTTCCGATGGAGGCGTAAATGTTGTAGGGCCGTGTGCTCAGATTTGGGTGCACGTTAAAGAACCCCAGGTGGTCGAAATTTCCGGAGCCCTCCACTACGGCGTCTCTCATAATCATATGGTGGTTTTGGGACGTTAAACCCCACATATCAATCAATCGTCCTTGTCATTCATCACTTACGACACAATTACCTGCCGGCAATCACAAGTGTTTTTTATACCTAGTGCGGTTATGTATGTACAGAGGTCTTCACGCAAGTCCAGAACACTGGAATGGCACGCTCTGGATTGCAGTAACAACGTTAGCCGATTACACCTGGTTTTAAAGAGTCCAAGTGATAGCATGCATGACCGCTTGAGATAAATTCTCAAGCTTAGGCTATCTCATACTTACCTACCAATATACACGGCACCGGAGCACGTAACATACTAAAGTGCACAGTTGCAGCATTCTCTACAAGTGTGTTAACCTCTGTTCAATTCTGTTCTTCAATGAAGCCTTGGCAGAACGACGTGTCATTGCAGTCGGGGACCACAGTGAAAAATTACGCAATCTGCCCAAAGGGGTCCACGGGCTGATGCGCAGCATTGCGGTGGTGCAGCGCTAGCAGTCCGTTTTTTTCAATCAAGAAACTCGCTAGCAAATGCTTCCTGAGTTGGCTTTGCAAGACACCGTGGGGAGGAGTGCCGAGAGAAGAGAGGGGAGCGAGCGTAGGGTAGCAGACGCTCCCTGCATTGGCGTTGCAAGGTATGAGAGGATAGAGAGAGAAGGGGATGCGCATGCACAATGTGGGAGCAAGTACAAGCAGGTGGCAGGAGAGAAAGTGGAGAGCTTAACGTGCAGCTGTTGGGAAGAGGGAAGGTGGAGAGTTGCTCATGCGTAGTGTGGGTGCGTACATCTAAAAACGCACACACACTGGCACGTTGTGCTTTTTTTTCTTGAAGGAACTGGAACTTGATAGTATGGTAAAAGCTCGTAATATGGAATAGCGGGTTATGCCAACGCATACGCATTTACAGCCAAAAACACTTCTCAAGTGCCGACTGTCAACTGTAAGTGTAATTCGGTGAAACTTTTGGAGCTCACTCAGACTCTCTCATGAAATATATTTTGAGCTTTGGACTCACTCGCACTCGGACTCGCACACATTTTCCTGAGCCGGACTGACTTGGACTCACAAAAATTTACTTTAGCCGAACTCACTCGGACTGAAACTCACCGAAACATTATTCACCCGGACTGACTCAAACTCGCGGCTCGTTCTGAGTTCGAGTGAGTCTACCCACTAGTCCATTACCCTAAAATTAGCTTCTTCGACTGTGGTGTCAATGCACCTTAACACCTATAATCTCACGTAATCTGTGCTCTTCTTGGTGCCGTTTGACACGGTATTTTTGTAAATGAGTTCCGAGTGCTTCCAAACCAATAAGATCATTTTGTTTGAAGAGGTGACAGCGCAAGATGTAAAGATAAAAAAATTACTTGCAAGAGTTTGTGGGGGGGAGGTTGAAAGCACCTCCCTAAGTAATTCAAGCCTCTAAGCAAAAAATATTGGTATGTGAACTGCACTGCTATGGAATACGTGTGAGTTGGCGGGATTAGAAAGGTAAATCCAGGTAAGGCCGATGGTAATTCTGAACATGACTAGATATGACCTTAGGTCAGCAAAAGAAAGTAGAGCTCACTCAGACTCGCTCAAAAATATATATTTTGTGCTTTGGACTCACTCAGACTCAAGGAAATTTTCCCGAGACGAACTCATTCAAACTGAACGCACCAAAATTTCCTTCAACCGGACTCGCTTGTATTCAGACTCGCGAAAATATTACTTACCAAGGCTCACTCAGACTCGGGACTCAATCTGCATCTGAGTGTGTTTGCCGACGTACGACTGTAAGGTCATACAGCGGAGAATTGAAGGGTGACCTTTAACTCATCTTGTGGCATGAAAGTAAAGGCACTGTCTTCCCATGGATTGTGGATGCGTGACTGCACTTGCAGCAGACCCTGTTTATTTGTAGTCGTGCATTCCTTGCACGACTACAACTTGTAGCTGTGCATTTCACTTGTACCACTGCATATCACTGTTCGAGAAGAAGTGATGAAGGCTTTGTGCTTAATTTGTGTCACAAGGCCCTTTTAACCCTGAGATTGGAAACGGTGCTCATGCGCGCACACATGCACAGTCTCTCGATGCCCTCTCGGCGAAGAAAGAAAAGCTTTATTGTCAAAGTGAATACAAAACAGTCATCTTTGGTTCAGATATTTTATCACTTTCCATTGAGACTCCATAACATTCCAATTTCTTTTGTCGCATTGCTGCCATTGGGCTAGGAGAAACATTTAGAAAATCTACAGTCCTTTGTAGCTCAAGAAAAAAAAATCTAGATTTCAGTCAGTAAATAGCAAGACAGAAATCGATATACTTTTTCATGCATACGATGTTCATCAGACGAAACAGCTGCGCTAGTTTTGTAGCCTGACGGTGTGAAATCAGGGATAACGAATTCACCGATGTCTGAAATATGCTGCTTTTATAAGGATTACTGGCATAACCGGCTTCTCGCAAATGCTACAGTGACAAACTCAATAGAGACGACATGAAACGAGGTGCATGCTTTCATTATCTTCCCTTCTGCACCTGCGTCACCCTTATCTTGTTTGCTCAAACGATAGTGCAGAGGACTTGTGCTTTCCAACACTTCCCAAATCGTAGCTCTTCGAGTGGATAACAGAATGGACGCAGCAGAGCTCAAGACAAAATGGGGAATGGCAGCTGTACAAAATAAAGTTTCAGCCAATTCTTTCATTGCTAGTGCGCTTACTGCAAATATGCTGTGCAATAGGAGTTGTTGCGGTCACAATCTCATTCTTTTTGGGGAAGCTTGAATCAATCTCCCCGATTCCCAATATTCAGGATACTCCGAACTGTTTCCTTATTGCACATATAAGTGTGGAAAAACAAATAAAAAATACAATAGCATTTTTTAAAGTAGAGCACTTGTCGGGACAAGTTCGTAGCATTTCACAGCTGTAGACGTCCTTTACAAAAAACTTCACTGACCCTGCTAATGAAATTCACTCGAAAGTGCTTATGCCATTTGCACATGTTGCAGTTGCGTATCTTTCTAGCGCACTGCACACACAATGTGGACTGAAAAAAGACATTTGGAATGTCTCGTCGCACAGTAGATTACACAGTCTTTTGGTGATGCAATGGCTTGATATTGTTGTAAAGAAGAAAGATTCAGATAGCTACAGCATCATGCTTCAGTGCGCAAAACTAATGAGAATAAAACAAAACAAAAAAAAAAGCAAAAAGCAAAAGAACTGCCATTGTTGTTTGCTAACACTGCAGAGTATGCAAAGAAACTGTTCTTTTTGGCTGGCACTAACTTGAATCCGTGGTGTGTGCTTCTACACTGGCAGGTAGTGCGTTTCTAGTTTATCCCAGTAGCGTTTTTGGCATACGGTAGGGTATGCCAATAAGCTGCCTCTTCCAAGTCATGCGTTTGCTGTGCCATTAAATATGGCAACAGTCAAATAGTCATATAATAAAAAAAAACAAGGATGAAAACATTTTTTTGTGTCTAATAGCAGCAATGGAATTTGTGTCATGTATAGTGTTGTGGATCGAAATATAACATCAAAATTTTCAGTTTAATGACTGGTATTGAGAATTGCTCGAGATAACCACTACATGTTGATACGAGTCTGGCCTGTAACGATAATGTGGGCTTTCATCTAGGCGTTCCGAGTCTAGATGGGACCGAAACCGAACACGGTAGAAATGAAAGTGCGTGCATTACTTGGTCCTGAATTTCCGCTTTACAAGCCGTGAGCGCTGTGCTTATTTTGTACAGACTTGACTGCGAATGTCTTTTCACAGATATTATCAGCGGGTACAACATCATTACAGCAAGGTGTGAATGTACATAAAAATTAGACTTGGGCTACATTTTTGGACTATGGCGCTGCCGTTAACTCGGCAAGAAATGAAAACAGCAGTGGCGAGGCACATTACACTCAGCACACATCGTAAAATATGATACGTGCTTTCAACTTGATCATTTACAAAGCAAAGCCAAAATGATCAACACATTTAAGAAAGGAGCTCTTGTAGTGTGCCGCAAATGAAGTTGGGCATGTTTACACTATTCAAATCGCATGTTTGATCTACTGAACTACAAAGCTCCCAATATGCACAAGTATATGCACTGTGAAGTTGATCTGACAAAGTAATATGGTACAAGCAAAACATTTGCAAATAGTTCGCTTTTGAAGTTCTTGTCATACGCTGATACGGAGTCACATTACTGCCTGCTTAGATGTAGACATAGTATGTCATACAGCGGTTACACTAAGCACTCTTTTCCGGAAGCTTGCATTTGCAGATCTTGCATCTTGGTCCCTAAAAGCATACCGTAAAATCCCAAGCAAGTAGCTCGATATGGTGAAAGATAATTGGACAATATTTGGAGCGTCTGACTCCTTGACTAGTCGCAGACTGAAATTCAAGGTGGTGGTGGAAAATTCTTGGAGAAAAATTCACACATGTGCTTCTAATAAATGCTGCATCAAATACGCATGCATTGCCGCTTCCACTGAGCTAGAGAGAATTCTCGTGCGAAGTTTCGCGTGTTATGACTGGGGGGGGGGGGGGGGACAATGTTCTTCAAATTTTTTGACAATTTGGAAGGCAGTCTGGATACACGACACTGTAAATGTACTAAAAAATTGTGCACCTATCGAAAGACTCTCAGAACTTGGGTACCCAGGAATTGCTGCTGTGGGATTCAGTAGCGAGGAATAAGTTGGAAAAAAGGAAAAAAAATGGCAGAAGGAAAGGGTAGAGTAGGCTTTCTCGGTCACTGGTGCATATTTTAACACTCCCGAAAAAGGAGAAGGGGGCACTTGCTCGGGATTTTACAGCAAGTGAAACTAACAGCCAACACTAGTAACAACGTTGCGCTTTTTTCGACCGCTAAGCTAACAGCTTCATTTTCAGCTTCATCCTTGCATGTACCATTCAAGTGAGAACATTTTAAAGAGCTAACACAATCAGCTCTCCATCTCTCTTACTTCAGTAAACAAAAACCTGATGTAAAACAGCTTTTTACGAAATAGTGTTCGCCGAAAAAATGGCGCCACTTCTCCAGGCATTGCAAAACACTACATCGCTGCTTCTACGAATACACACACTCTACTAATGTACAATGCCATTTTCAGGAATGGTCCATAACCATGCCACTTCACTGAGGCGATACCAATGTTCGAGATTAATTAAAGGGAAGAATGTTAGGTCCGTAAATTTATCATTGGCAGTTTTTGGTTTGCCGAAGAAGTGTACAGCAGCAGTGACCCTAGTAGCAACATTTGATGCGCAAAAAATGTGCACGCGAAAGCTGCGTTGACTTGTACATTGTATGCTGCAGTTGGAGTAAAGAATTGGTAGTGAGATAATTGTTATTTATAGCAGCACTCTCGTGTTTTTTTTTTTTGCTCCATCAAACAATGTAAAATAGTTTTTCAAGTAATACTGTAGTTGGTCATAATGCCACAACGCATCACTACAAGCTTTGGAGTTGCTGTTACGGCAACCTTGAAATTTGCAAATAGTGAAACGTTTACATTGAAACAAATGCTTTCTGTTGAGAGGTGCGTATGGAAACGTGACTCGGCGAGGGCACTCGTTTTTAGTGAGTGAGATTAAAGAAATGAAAAAAAAATTCATTGCCTTGCATTGTGTTATAGTTAAAGGACAGTTGACCAACACCAGATTACTTTTCGTTCTTTGAATTCTGATCCTGTTACCAGCGTCGTGCACCTGTTGTGCAGATCTTATTAACCAACCTTTTTTTTTTTTCCAGGAAAGCATGAAAAATGCTTGCGAAGTCATTAAGGGCTGGATCATTTTTGAAAGCTGCGGTATGGCTTCTACAATTAACGATGTTTCCTTGACAAAGCGAAAAAAGACATTTACACGTATTACAAGAAGTGCAGTTAACGTAAGACAGACCATTCATTGCACACTTGTTGCATACTGACGACAACAAGAAACATTGCAGCAAAATAAATGGCAATGAAACGACACATTTTAAGAAAGGCACTTCTCTGTGCAAAGACTTGAGACAAGACACAAACCCGCGTGGTGTAATATGAAGTTAAACTGGGTAAGACCATGCAGAAAAATTGCGAACGCTCACAATTTATCACTTGCTGTGCGATGTGAAAAAAGAAAAATTTGTACAGACACACACAATTGACAGCTCTCAGACAATGATTAAAAGTAGAGGTCGGTTGTGCACTTTCTTTGTAAAGATATCGAAAAATAAGTGAGCCTGAAAAGAAGTGTACACTTGCTACAAAAAAAGTCAGTCGAAAGGTCAACAAGTCATCGTAAAGGAATGTGTCCATGGAATTAAGTTTTATAAAGCCAACGCTTACAAGTATTTACACGAAATGATACCTAAATAATTGCGTACAAAAAGAAGAAAACTTACACAATGAGTCAGTGCATAGCAGTTACTGAGACAATCGCCTTTAAACACCTGACAACTGTGACAAAATGCTCATCAATGATGTTAAACATCGCATACTATCCGTTACTACGGAAGTCATTGGTACAGGTGACGTGCTTTTAGAATCGGCAACAAAGATGGTATTATCGATGAAGCCACTGGTAGATAGCTGCCAGTGTACTTTCTGCAAATCTTGAAGTTCCAGTGAACCCAACTTCCCGAAAGCGTGATGCACTTCTGGCTCCACCCTCGAATCAAGCCTCATCTGGCAACGCTGTAATTCACTCAGAATTATATAAGACTGAGGCACGGAAAGTCGATTAAAAGAGCTAAACTAAGCTCCTTTCTAGCATGCTCTGAATAGACCTAAAATGCCCATTTAGCCAACGGGAAGGAAATTTCACTCGGGCAATATTTATTATGACTGAATAGCAAAAGCAAACCTGACAAGGCTGCAAAGCTGGTAATGATACATTTTTTCTTATTGGAAGTCTTCATAACAGAAGTTAGGTGAACAATGCGGGCACCTCGTTTGGTGTAGGTCTAGGTGCAATGCCTCTGAGGTGTTTTGCTGCTCTAAAGCCATCAATCACTACCAATAAGTGTAATTAGTGGCATTTGTGTTTTTCTGCTTCAGTAACAAAAACGGCAATATTTTTTATATTTTCGCACAAGAACTCTAATAAAATCTAATAAAAACCTGTTTCCCTGAGCAGTGGCGCATCCAGAGGAAAGGGCAGTAAATGCGATACCCCCCCCCCCCCCCCCTAAAATCTGTCAGCACCCCCACCTCACTTCAGTGCTTGTAGTCCACCTCTTATCACAAGTTAGAAAAAATAAATGAAACTACCATGAGCACACACTAACAGTATTTACGCTATGCAGGAATTTTTCTGCTAGTAAAAAAACAAAAAGTCATGACTTTTCAGTGTTAATTCAAGTGACCCCCCCCCCTAAAATGAGTGGCTAGATTCTGAAATGCCTGTCTGGACCAGCCATAAAGCCTTTCTGGGATTTGCCCCTGCTCCAGAGAGGCTTTATAACTAGTCCAGAAGTTTGTTGTAGTCAGACTAGAAGAGCATAATGCCTCCACTCACAATTAGTGATGAGTAGTAAGTAGGTACTTGCCAACCTTGCGCTATGCAGTGCCAAGCAGAATGTAACACAGCATACGATATCATCATCAGTGGACTTGAGAATTGCGTATGCAGCAACCCAGATCGTTTTCACAAGTTAACACACATAGAAACACAAACTGCGCTGTCGCCGTGGGAGATCAAGCAAAATGCACATATGGAAACGTGACAATGAAAAACAGTAAACACAGTTTGAGACCTCCCAGATACGCTATGTACAAAACAAACTGCCCCAAAACTTTATGTACAATCAAAACCCACCGTGCGTAAAGGATATGCCTGTGCCCTGGTATCACAACCTATTGTGTGACAGCAACTGTCAGAGATCGAAACAGCGACACAGACGTGTGAAGACCACGGTGTTTTAACACTGTTTACACATAGTGCTCACAGCCCGGCTTCAATGATGAGGAAAGACAGTTATGAGCTTACTTTTCACATAAAAGCAGTTTCAAGTGCTAAACATTGAGATAATTTACCTAGAAGTACAATGCCTGGAAATCCGCGTGCTCTCGAACTCTTTAAGACCAACATGCTTTACTAGATGGCTACTTATTTAGCCTGAAGTCAGCTATGGGTGTAATGCTCTAGTATTTTTACACTGACACTTATTTTAGTAGTTGATGAAAATACATTTCGGCAGAGGTTACTCTAGTTTTTGTGCTCTATCGTTTGAAATTCGGTGCTCGACGGCTAACACCAGTGAGGCATTTCGTTTAACACATGGCTAACACTAATTTCAATGCTTAACATGATGAGGTAAATAGTAAAGATAAACTTAGTTTGCAGACTACTAGTTAAATATTCCATGTTTTAACTGTGACATGCTGCTGTGTACTGATTATTTTTAGTTATATCAGACGTAATGGTGTACGGTTCAACAGGTAAGATTTGGGGTCTCTTTGTGCAATAATCCTGTTTTGATAAAACAATACGTAAAAAAATTACATCAAATGCTGTTGAAATAGATTAAGAGTGTGTGCCAAGACTCCTGTGCAATGCTTTTTTGTAACTTTTTAGAGGGGCCCTGCAACACCCCTTTCAAATTTTGTTACATAGGAAAAAAATTTTTTTTGAATCCACTGAGTAAAAGGAGACTTACACCACCATACCTCACAGCCTCAAGCATCTTATATTCAATTTTTCTTTGAACATACCATGTCTATGGTACAGTGGTCATGGATCTCAGCTGCTAACTAAAAGATGCGAGTTTAATCCCAGTTGTGGCTAAAGCATTTTGATGGAGGGTGAAATACCAGAAGCTCGTGTATTTAGATTTAGATGCACCTTAAAAAAACCCAAATGGTCGAAATTTCTGGAGTCCCTCCATTGCGGCATGTCTTGAAATCGTATCATGGTTTCGGCAAGTACAATTGAACCCCTTCATAAGAGGCATGCTCTGGGCAGCAATTCTTGTCTTTTATATGAGATGTCTTATATAAGCAGGGTACAATGTATGGATTTTCCTATTAACCCGTATTTTACTTTAGGCACACTGAGGTCTCTTATACCCATTTATTTGTCTCTTACGTCAGTGTCTCTTATAGCGGGGTTCGACTGTAAAGCCTCAGTTAGTGTATAAAGGCCGCTATGCCGGATTCCTAGATCACCCAGAGGCTCTCTAAGATTAAAAGTCGTAGGTTTGATGTTTTGTTGGAAACTACACGACTAAAGTCCGTTTTCCTGAGCTTACATCCAACCTGTTTACGTGCCCTTTTATTGATGCCACTTACACAACAGAAGTCAAACTGGTTCTTGATAGACACCGGAATAAAATATTTTCGTGGTAAAACGATAACTGTCTTGAAATACATGGCACATAGTGATATAACTCTTGGGCCACGTACGGGATTCTCGTCATGTGTAGCTTCCAGCACGTCCACAGTGACATAAGCCGAAAGATAAGGCGCATGTGCTGTAATAATACGTGATAACTCTGCTTGTACTCGACAGACTAGAAAAACGTTTGCGGCCAGAGATTCGTGAGCTAGGAGAGTCCCTATACTTTCATTGGCATCATTGTTAGTTCTCATTGGCAGAGTATAATAGTAACATCATCCTACGATAAGACAGCACGGCGTTGAAGTGTCTCTTTGACATTTGATCTTACCATAGCTTGGGTGACGTTTGTACACACCTATGCAATCAACACCCGAGGGTTAAGCCGCTGTGACACCGATTATCCATTTGATAAAGCCTTGTGGCTGTTCATATTGAAGTGGTGCCGGGGCTGTCAGCCATGACAGGCGTGTTCAAGTGGCAACATTCGGAACAGAATTTAATACAAATTGAACAGTAGCAAAGAGATTGAACAGTAGCAAAGAGAATTTAAATCGTTCTCCGAATACTGAACAGCCATTTCGCACTTGTCTGTATACCTTCTCCTGTGAACATGTGTTTTTATTTGGGCAAACTTATACTTACAAGAACATCATTATAAAATTAGTACAATGTAATGTTCGCAATGCAGCATTCATATTCTTAGCGATAAGATCGTAAATGGAGCATCACGAACGAATACAGAGGTTCTTCAGATGTACACAATCTCTCAGCGAGAACACAAAATTGTAGTACAGATGATAAAGTCCGGCTCCGCGAGTGACGTAGCCCGCTACACTACATAAGCTCCTGTGTTTCGTGCCTGTGCTATTGCCATGAGTGTAAAGTTTACCGTGCACTTGTATCAATGTTGCAGTTATTAAGGTGCAGTTGACACATTAAGAGGCTTGTATTCATGAATAATGTCAATTTGATTCGAAGATCGTATTGAATCGGACACCATACGACTTGACATCAGGAATTTTCGAATATTCACAGACCCTTGCGTGGCACAGCTATGGAATGATCGCACAGAAACTGTGGTTGGTCAATGCCTTGGCCGTCAATCTGTCAATCGTTGGGACTAGCCCAAGGGCAAGTAGTGGTTAAGTACAGTGATCTGTAACTTCCTCGTCTATTGCATCACTCATTCCATGTTGGTGCACAAGTGCAGACAAGTGGTGACAGCCCACAGCACGAATACCTCTCGATTGTTACTAACTCACACGCACCTTTTCCTATCCTTGATAAAACAGTGTTCTCAACCTAAGCTCAATTAGGCACCATAATTAGCCAGCACACAGGTGCTGGTCAGCAGTGACTAGATGGTGCCATTACCATCACTCGGCAACACCCCGTTAATGCTCATCCAAGCATTTGCCAATCCGTCGTGAAAGGGATACTGACACCAATTTTCGAAGGTGAAGTGACTCTGCCACATAACTATTCTGTGCGCAGACAGCTCTGAGCAAGAGTCAAGCTCAGAAAATGCTTATAAGACATTTTATTTTGACATTAAAATCTATTCTTGCATGACGCAGCTACTGACATTGACACTAGCATGCTGTAAGGCTGCAGTACTAATTCCGGTGGCTTCACACACAACTTTAGCTAACTAGGATGATATCAGGCACCAAAGCAACCAAAATGGGTACTTGTGCGGCACCAATAAAGCTATGTGTTGTGATGTTGAGGAACAGTAGGAACCGAAACTAGCTTTGAAAGTACCATGTATAGCTCACTTCTTTAGGATGCACTCATGCTTACAAGCACATTTTCTAGGCTCTTTCAGCCTTTCATTTGATGCAAAAAAAGTGACAACTGAACATTATCCTGTCAGTATCCCTTTGAAACATGCTCACACGTCACTTAACCATGAGACACACTTGCATAAGGAAAGCTTTAGCTCAAGTGGCATATTCTCGGTCGGTCACTTTCGGATGAACCTTCAGTTTTGCATGACATGGTAGCAAACCCAATGTGTTGCTAGAAATGCGGGTATTCTGCTTGCTGGCTCAGCCAATGAGCTTCAGCCAATAGCGACACAGTTGGAAATGACCGACCGGGAACACTGCACTTAAAAAAGCAGGTCATTGTTGAGCCTTACACTAGGTGGACCCATTCGTTCAGTAGAGGATGGTTCCGTTTACGCAGTAAGCTGACTTGGCGAATGCCATCTGTGCCGGTGTCGGCGCACCGGTGCCGTTGGGCAGGTATCCCGGCGGTGAGTTGTAGTTGGCGCCCGAAAGCAGGCCGGCGAGGTGAACGACAGGGTTCAGGGTGGTGCTCACATTCCCTCCAGAGACGGTGGGCAGAGCTGAATTCGCGCTCGGCTGCGGCTTTGGCTGGATGTTGTCCAACACCAGCTCCAGCTCTTGGTAGTCGGAGAGCCTCTGCACCTCCTTGTCCTTGCGTAGGATGGTGTTTGGTAGCTTGCGAAGCTTTCGTACCTGCAAGATGTATGCCACAAGCAATGACACGATGCTTAGCCCTTTCAGATACGACCTATAAAACGTCGTGTGGACATTAATTAAATTTGCAGAAAATTACATCGAGAAATTCAATACCATAGCAACATAATAAACCCATTTTTATGCTGACATCAAAATAACGTTCTATTAAAATATTGACACGTGCGGTTCTTTCCTTCCGCACGACGCTTGCAAAGGTGCGCAGGAAAGCAACGCGGAAGTCGTCCCAGGTTCGAAGCGTTGACTCGCGATTCTCGAACCAAGTCCTTGCGGCGTCTTCCAGGTAAAAATACACATGACGCAGCTTGTCGTCCGGGTCCCACTTATTGAGGGCTGCGACGCGGTCGTAAATGTCAAGCCAGCTTTCCGGGTCTTCGTAGGTCGATCCGCGGAAGGTAGGCGGCTCTTTGGGCTGGTTGACGACCACGGTTGCCGAAGACCTTGCTTCCGTCATCGTGGATGCCGGCTTCGTAGCAGCCTTTGTTTTCTTGTCCTTGTCGGGGAGCGGCAGGTATTCGGGCGGTAGTCCTTGTTGTCTTCGGCTCACTCGAACGACCGGGTCGGCGTCGTCCTCTTGGCGGCTTGGGCTTGGCTCACGGCTGGACGGGGGCGAACGGTACATGGACCGAGAAGCACCTCCACCAGATGTCACGAGGTTGTGATACACGCAGCACTTGAGAGGAAGCACGCAGGAGTCAGGGCGGTGTCAGGCGAACTATTTATTGGGCGAACTTGTGCCCAGCAAAACAGGGCCAAACACAACTCACAGCAACAGCGGCGTGAACAGTCGTCGGCCGACGGAAAAAAAAAAAGAAGACCCCCAGTGGCGCACTGCGCCGGCTTTTTATACACGCGTCGTAACGCGTTCCAGAGTGGCATACAAGATAAACGCGGCCTGCGTTGCGCACGTGTCAGTCTTTTATACACGCGTCATAACGCGTTCCAGGGTGGCATACAAGATAAACGCGGCCTGCGTTGCGCTTAACAGAAAGTGATAGCGGCTTTCTTCGTAAACCAAAAGAACCGCACGTGTCACTACCCCCCTCTGTCACGAGGTTGTGATACACGCAGCACTTGAGAGGAAGCACGCAGGAGTCAGGGCGGTGTCAGGCAAACTGTTTATTGGGCGAACTTGTGCCCAGCAAAACAGGGCCAAACACAACTCACAGCAACAGCGGCGTGAACAGTCGTCGGCCGACGAAAATAAAAAAAGAAGTCCCCCAGTGGCGCACTGCGCCGGCTTTTTATACACGCGTCGTAACGCGTTCCAGAGTGGCATACAAGATAAACGCGGCCTGCGTTGCGCACGTGTCAGTCTTTTATACACGCGTCATAACGCGTTCCAGAGTGGCATACAAGATAAACGCGGCCTGCGTTGCGCTTAACAGAAAGTGATAGCGGCTTTCTTCGTAAACCAAAAGAACCGCACGTGTCAATATTAAAATCATTAATATTGATTTATGTGCGTTAGAGTGAATAGTATTAGTTGAACTGCAAATACATGTGTAATTATGTTGAAAGCAATTCATTTTATGCTTTTTTTCAAAAATATAAGCAAAGGCTAGAGATGTGCCGCGATTACCTTTTCAGTTATGTTCATTTTGAGCTAAAAAAAAAAAAATGTTACTTTTGGTGTGGCTTGCAGAACGTGGCATATCGAACGATTCATCGAACATGGTCAAATGAAGGCATATTTGTTATGCAGCAGGTGCAATCTTGCCCTTTTTTGGCCACTAGTTGACACAAATAGTGGTAGCAAGTTGTGTACATAAATGTGTTTGCGGCATCTCAAAGAGTTAAAGGGACACTAAAGGCAAATAGTATTGTCATTGTTGGTGGCTAAAATAGCAATCCAGAAATGTCGCAGTGCTACTTTTGTGCCGAGGAAATTCTTATTTTGAATGCACGGTCTGCACGGTGTTAGTGCATTTCATGCCACCCGCCTGAAAAATGGGCCTCTCTGATGTCGCGGTTGCGTCGCATAACGTTTCCCGCCTTCACTGTGCGGCCGCCACTATACGCGAAGAGTTGTAAATATGCAGGGTTACTGGACGATGGTGCCAACATCTTGTGACGCTTTGTGCAACCACAGTCACTGACACGTTTGTATTTGCCTGGCATTTTTGGAAAAAAAAAATGGTACAGTTTAACCCCTTTATAAGAGATATGCTCTGGGCAGCTGTTATTGTCTCATATATGAGATCTCTCATATATGAGTTCTCATATATGAGAACTTGTTTGTAACTATGTCGCTGCAACGCAGTCACACCAGGCGTAGAAAACACGATGGTTATGCAATGAAAATTTTGTGCTTGTCTGGTTCAAAAGGGCCTCACTATGGTACTGTCAAGCGGTTCTTTTTTGTATAAATGAAACATAAACAGAGAAGCACCATTTGATAACGTGTTGCAATACATGGAACATATTTTATTGCACCAAGTTTCATTACTAGTTGATTGTAGTCAGATGCTCTGATGTTATTGAGATCATTTCAAAATGTCCCACTTGTGGCATGTATGGTGTTGTACAATTGCCATAATTTCCTTATAAGTACAACAGCGCTGTTGATAATAACAAAGTGTTAGACAGTCTCAAACATTGATCTTTCACTATGATGTAAATTGTTATTTGCCTTTAGTGTCCCAGTGATATTGCGAACATTGCTGTTTTATGCCAGAGTCACACTGTCCCTTTTGATGCCAACTGGGCTAGACCCAGATTAAGCTTGACCTTTAAGACGATCGTGATCTGTACATGTACAGTGAATCAGTGACTGATCTTCGATTGCAACATGGCTGACTCGTTCACTTTCCAGCTTGGTGCAGGAGGAATTATAACGGGCGGCCATAAGAGAGGCCAACTGTTTAGCTTCTCGCAAATGAGCCCGACGTCGCTCTCATGCCGTAATTAACGAAACACGGAATTTCAGTGCATCAGGCTCAATGCATGCACTCAACTTATGTTTGTTGTTTTGACCTTGATTGACCTTGTTATTATTTGTAGGTTGTTTAGGGCTGACGGCATAGCTAAGAACAAGTTTTCTCTTCAGCAAGCATAGCCCAAATATCTGCAGAAAAAAGTGACCCTCAAATGAGCTCATTCATTGGGCGGTGAATTCATCAATCAAGCTGGTCGACTAGAGTAATTGGGACAATTGGCAGACTAACTACTCAGTTATGGGGCGAGTTAGAGGCAACGATTTGCCAATGAAAATCTTGAGATCGATCATTGGGGCTATAAAAGCTGGCTTTGCCATTCTCATCCCTCTCAACAAGTCTCACCAAATGGAGTAAGGATGTCCTACAGATTATTTATTTGCAAGTGTCTTTCATATGTAATTCTGTAACACTGCGTACAATGTGTTATAAATATAAGCTGCCTTGTATTCTGTTAACCTCTCGAATGTGTTCCATCCCCCAAGCTTTAATATAGAGAAAACATACAGCACCTATGAGTGGTGCAACTGTTCACTGCACCAGCAAGCTGCCAGCACCACAAACAGCCATTTGCAGTCGTGTCAGCGTTCACTCACGTGCTACGAATTCTCGTCTCTACGTCTGCTATGCCACCATTGTATGCACATGCGTGAGCACAGAGGCAACAAGTTTGATAAAACAGGTAGCCTTTCAGAAAGTTAGTAGTGCAGGATTCTTTTTGAGCCTCAAATGAAACAAAGACGTGTGACAGAGTATTTTGAGTTGAGAGGGCGATTCGTGTGGGGTAGCCAGCATAGGTCGTCACAATTGATGTTTGTAGTCATTTTTCCTAGTCATTTTGCTTGCTTATTGAGTAAATGATGATAGCTGTGTCTGACCTGTGTTAGACACAACAATTATATCGATAGGCATATGTAAAACGTACGATTACCGAACTGCTTGTGCTGCACTTAGCAATGCCATTGCAGTTCCGATAAGTTCTCTGCGCTGTAGTTGATCTCCGTCTGTAGACACTGCTTGGGATACATGAATGTTTTAACTTTGTCATGTGCTAGCTTTGCACGCAATATCTTAGCAATCAGACAACACAAGAGAACGGCAGCGTGCAGTTTCACTTTCCCACACAGTATTGTTAAGGGGCAAAGGCAAACAAGGGGAGTACATTTAAATCCCCGTTCCTGATGCATTTTCATTCACAAACTCCAAGACCATGAACTGCGTTGCTCGATGAATTATGGTGCGGCAGAAAATAATTAGGTTTGTATGACGGAGAATGCTGATTCTGTGGGTTGCTTTTTGCCAACAAAATGTAGAACGCTGACTCGAGATCACTTTGCTAGCTTCCACTCAATTCTGTCAGTACTGTAAAAATAACAGTTGAATTGCTTTAAGAGCGAATTCTGAGCAAGCTGGCTAGAGCGTGTACTTTACAAACATGTGCAGGATCGCTTCCTTTTTACACAGTCTATGTTGTGAATCTATTGCTCTCACTGATCGCTGAACCGCCACACAGATGGCGTCACAATGTTTGCTAACTTTCTCGATATTTTGGACTATTCCGATGAGTTTGCATTCATAATGTGAGCACTATAGCTTCTTTTAGAGCTATAATGCTTCAAGTTATACCAGTTATAATGCTCAAAGTTACGATCAATCGTGTATAAAAGACAATGCGTTTCACTAACGATCAGATTACCGATGGCCTACAACTGCAATCGCTGCTATCAGTGTAGAGTGTGCATCGCTTGAACCTTTAAGTAGTTTTCTGAGCATAAGTGAGCCCAGGAAAGAGTTTCGTTTTTATCAGTGAGGCCTGTTTCACCGCTATGTGACCATACAAACTACGCAGTGTGACTGCGACTCTGACCCGTTTTAAATCGGCACCCAGCTCGTCGCAGCAGGTGCGCAGCAGGTTGGCAAATGTCAGCTCTGTCCTCGGCAGCTCCACCTCGATGAAGTCCGGGTCGTCCAGATACGCGATCCTCACTTTGAGCACCAGGTCTGTCTCTTCTGTCACAGAAAGAAAGAGAGAGGGAAAAAGTGTTTTTGCCACAAAACTGTTGTGCCTTATTCCAAAAAAACTGGTATTCACACAAATAAAAGAAGACAGTACATGACTTCCGATAAAAATTATTATGTAGAGTTGAGCTACAATGTAAAGCGCACCAAAACCAAAATATAAACTAGTGTGTCAATCATGATACATTTTGAGGTAAAGAGCTTTGTTATACCCATCCACAGCTGAGCAACATGGGGGGCACCTGTCAGAGAGAGAATAAGGATAGAAGAAAGGAAGGGAGGTTAAGCAGAGCTGTGCTTGGTAGGCTACCCTGCACAAGGAAGGAGAAAGCGAGGGGAAAAGAAAGTTATAGAAGAGAGAAAAGTCACTGTTTTTAGCCGACAGAACAGTTCCACGTTTGACATCACAAACGACGAATCAGACCAGTGCCCCTGAGAAAATGCAACAGTGCTTTCGCTGCTCTTCAGAATGGTGATGGGTGGCCTCACGGTTCCAATATCTTCTCAACAGTGAAAGCGCTTTCGCCTAGTCAATGTAGAGCAGCCTGGAGGCGAATTCGTAGTGACTTGATAGGAGCTAGTTGTTGCTTTGGCGTAACTGAATGTAAGAACAATATCGGGGGTCTGACATCTCCAAACCATGATTTGATTATGAGGGACGCCATAACGGAGGTCTCCTGAAACTATCTGTTGTTCTTTAACGTACACTGACACCGCACAGTACACGGGCCTCTAGCATGTCTCCTTCGTCGAAATGCAACCGCCGCGATCGAGATCAAACACGTGATCTTCAGGTCAGCGGACGAGCACCATAGTCACTAATCAACCATGGAGGACAGGCATGACTCAATGATATCCGTACATGCAACGCTGAGATGAGACACAATGGAACGTTGACATGTTAAGGCAAAATGTACCTATTTCACTAGAGTTACCGTATATGGCTCTTTTCAGAGAGCTTCATAAAGGTGCACTTCTGCTTCACATTTCTGGCTCTCTGCTGTTTCCCATTCCGTTTCATAATCAAATGCAGTTACACATTTGCAAAAGCAATGATACAACGTGGAAGCGACAACCACCGCAGAGATGAACATGATCATAGCTGCATCACCAGGTCACAATAACTTAGCACTTTCCTTGAAAACTAACATCCAGGCGATTGCTTTTAAAGTCAGTCTTCCTTGTGTCTCCAGTTTAGAGAAAAAGTTACATTACAAATAGTATTTCTGCTAAATATAACTTGTTCAGAAATGCTGGTTGGCACAACTTTTAACAGATAATATCAGGCTGTACAAAAAGAAAGGTGTAGTGCTGGGCGACACTTCAGTGCAGGCGATGAGATATTCTGTGTTTATTCAGAATAAATCAAGCAACTACCACGGCTCTTGTTTTAATGTCTGTGGTCAGGTCGTTCCCATTCACAATTTAAAAAGTGGGCAGGACTTAGATAGACCTCTAGTGCTCACACTGCAAAGAGCTTGCCTCCTGTGAGTTTGACGAGTGACTTTCTTTCAAATCTGCTTTTAACTTGCTTTTGTCTTTTTAGAAGCGAAGCTCCTTATAGTCTAACCTTGTGACTAGTCACACGTTACCGGGAAAAGAAGAGACGAGAAGGAAAAGAAGGCAAAAAAAATGGATGACCATTTCTCTTCTCATATCCTAGATGGCATTACTTTGCCGCTACCCTCCAAAGTGCCGCTACTTTCTAATTGGCTGTTGCATGCACTTTTCTGAGGGGCGACGAACGAGTGCCTCTCTCATTCTCCTGGATAGTCGCCGTACGTGGCAAATCGTTGGTAGAGCATGGGCGAAGTAGAGTGGCGGGTGCATTGAAGACACTTGCACTCGGCTTTCTTGGCTCGCGTCTCGTCGGTGTTACCCGGGCGCAGTCTGCATAGTGAGCGAACGAGTGCCTCTCTCAGTCTCCTGGATAGTCGTTGTACGTGGCGGATCATTGGTGGAGCAGGGACGGAGCAGAGTGGCGGGCGCGTTGAAGACGCTTGTGCTTGGCTTCCTTCGCTCGCGTCTTGTCGGTGTTACCCGCGTGCAGTCTGCATAGTGAGAGAACGAATGCCACTCTCAGTCTCCTGGATAGTCGCTGCACATGGCGGATCGTTGGTGGAGCATGGACGAAGCAGAGTGGCGGGCCCGTTGAAGACGCTTGCGCTGAGCTTTCTTGGCTCGCGTCTCGTTGGTGTTACCCGAGCGCTGTCTGCATTCTCGAATGCGATCAGACGCATGCACGGACGGACGCTTTGCCCCACTCATCATTTACTCTGTGGATATGTGATTTTTCTTGCGAAATAGATATCATTACTGAACTCGGCTTCTTTTGACAGCACATTAGATTTGATAAGGTGGATGCTTGGGCTAGTTGGTGATTTGGAAACAATATGTTTGTGCAGCACAACAAAAAACGAGTAGTTACAGAAGGAAGACACACAGACAGGAAGGAGCGCTGTACTCTTTTCTGTCTATGTGTCTTTCTTCCGTAGTTACGCTGTAACTACTCATTTTCTTGCGCTGTGCAAATCTTGTACATACCTTAAATATTTTACTTAAGATACGCTGCCCTAAATACTTTTCAGAGTATTTGGTGAATTGGAAATACTCTGGGAGTGGAGTACTTTCACACAAGAATGTAATACCCTAGCAGCGTCTCTAAGGCAACAAACATTTTTTCCAAGTATTTTGTGCTCTATTCAGAGGCGACATTGAATCTAGTAATTAGTACTATTCTGAAATGCCTTTTTCATGCTAGGCTCAGAAACTTAGCTTGAGTACATTTTTAAACTAGTATGTTGTATGAATGAAGCATGTAACACACAGTAATTATTACACAGTGCAAGGTCAACAAGAATTTCCCATTAACACGCTAATTCATCACTGAGTGTGGTTGTTCGTTGGCTATCTTAGGAGCACAGCATGCACATTCAAGAATTGCAAATTTTAATGAATGAAAGCCAAATCGCAATCAAGTATTACGCACCCAGATGTACAAGCTTCTTGAAAAGTATGCAAGCTGTCTAATGGCTTCGATGTGTACATTGCTCGGCTGCACAGGTTGATCTCGCGTCACAATGATACCTTGTACACCTGATGATTTACACCTGATGAATTTACACCTCGTAGACCTGATGAGAAGTACAACACTTCTCTTCGTTTTACAAGTTGAGACTTTGTTCTATGCAATAGTATTACCTTAGAAGAGCCTGTGTACAGCCTAGCAGTCAATACGGACAGTCACAGGCAACACAAGAAATACAGCTGCCTTGATAGAACTCGAGCCCATCAGCTCAGCAGTTAAAAACTTCAGCCGAGACAGCAGCCATAATTTAGCAAAGAGGTCACATTTGTTCTCGTAAAAGGCAATTCACCACTGAATTCCTGAGCCGTCATTGAGTGTAGTGGTTGCGTACCTTGATGGCCACTGGAATAATCTGACTGGCCATTGTCGTGGGGCAGGCTGTGCTTTCCGGGAAGGTCTGCGTCGACGTTTCTGGTGTTCCGCGAGAGTTCCGACAGGTCTACCTTGTATTCCATGCTGGGGTGACTCAGAAAGTGAGGGGTGATTGGCAGCGATGGCGTGGAGATGGGCGCATCACCCTGTCCAGCCTCTGTGTAGTATAAACACACAACCATAAAGGCCTTTCTGTCAAGGCTGTATTACTGTGAAAACAAAAGCAGCTAACATAGAATTGACATCAACATGAAAGTGCCCTTTTTTTAGTAGGTTTTACATTTGGGTGGTGCACACCAGTCTTCGTCTATTCAGGTTGCATTTAAAGGAGCACTAAGGAGAAAACTGATCTTACTCACCTTAGAAAATTACTTTGTCACAATACCAAGCAAGCGTCTTCTCTGCGAGAAAACGCTTGCTAAGCGAGGAAACATGCAAAAAGAAAATGCGGGTGCGCACGCCACTGCAATGTTCCTGTACAAATAGCTATGACGTCATATTTTGATGACGTCTTCCAGTACCTACATCAGGGGTCTCAAGCACGCAGCCTGCAGACCTTTTGCTAGTGGCCTGCACACGACTGTTTTTGTCCAATATGTTTTTATTGTCTTAATAAATATGTCTGTGGGCTACAAAGACGTGACTGGTCTAAAGCATTTTTTTTTCATGAGCCCTCACAAAAGGCCTCCATGTAATGAAACATAAAGACAAACCAAAAACTCTATAGGAATCGGCGTCCATTTTTCAGTGATTGTGGATATCAGCATTGATATGCTTCTCAAATCCTCATGCCGAATACCCTGCAGAAATGATTCATAGATGGGATATAGGAAAAGCCTTGTTTTCAGATAAAAACATTATCTCACATTTTGTTCAATACCCCCCCCCCCCCCCCTCCCGCTCTAACTTTATTCGCTGCCCGGGAGAAAATTACGTAAAATCTTGCGTGAGAAAATTTTGTGACTGTGGCCCACGTAGTGCTAATCATTTAAAATTAACTACATTGTCCTTTGAGGGGGCTCAGCCGTAACGTACCAAGTTTCAGGAAATTTCGTTGACCCAATGTCACCAAAATATAAAAAAATACTCTATGACATTGGTGATGTTATGCGTGGAGATCTCGTTGCAAAATTTAGAAGTGCAACTATGACCTTGACTTTATTCACATTTAAGAATGTCGCATGGGGAACTCTAAAGAGAAACAGATAAGTGACAATGTGTGCGTGTGGTGCGTTGTAGTGGTTGGTGCTCGGCGGGGTGCATGTGGATGCTGCCGATGTTGTCAGATGTGGCCACCTCCAACTATGGGCCAGAATAAGAGAGACATGGCCGTCTCCCACAGCTATTTTTGCTATAATGGTGAAATAAAGACATGAAAGTTTTCATAGTAAGTAAATTTAAATTGATTCACAGTTTCACTATGATGTCTCTTAAAGAAGATTACACAGTACTTAGTACAGCAGCCACAAGAAAAATTGCAAACAGTCCTTTAACTTCTAACCACCATTATTCACATCATAAAATTTTTCTAGCATAATGCACCCGAAAAGGATGCGAATGGACCGCAATACATCGGACTGTCCAACGTCTTTTTAGAACAATACCAATCGATTGCCCGATCACGGCTTTGATGCGCGAAACATTGTATGATCACCTCCAAGCAAGGCCCTGATGTCTTCATTGTCGGTGAGTGCGGCTGGCGTCTCTCCCTTGAATGTCGTTATGGTGGGGTCAGCACCCTGGCTTAGCAGGTACCGCACGGTAGCAATGTGACCCCTCTTGCAAGCCCAGTGCAGCGGTGTCCTGAAAATACAGCGTTGGACACTCGAACAAGCACTTTATCTTTATTTTACTTGCCGAGATCGAATTATAATAGACGTGCCACCATAATTATGGGGCACGAACAATGAAATATGTAAATGCAAACTACACAAACAGGTGAAAATGTAAGTTAAGCACCTTTATTTCATAAACCGAATCACTAAGAAGATTATCCTGTGAATTTTTCCAAGACAAACTGTCACAGTGTGTGAAGCATTCAATAATGCAAAAGAAGTATCATTACTCTGCTTTAAGAAACTGTTGTAAGAATGAGTAGTTGACTGTGGATGATTTACCATCATTAACAAGTGCAGGCACTATGTGGGTAAATACAATAGTACAGCCGAACCCCTTTGTAAGAGACAGGTGGGTATAAGAGACACCAGAGAGACACAGTAAAATGTGGGTTGATAAGAAAATGCATACGAGGTATCCTGTTACAAGAGACATCTCATATAAAAGACAAGAATTGCTGCCCAGAGCAGGCCTCTTATAAAGGCGTTTAACTGTATGCACATAGACTAACACACTTCATCAAAATTGATTAGTTTCATAATGGTAACTTTACCTTGATTATCGTGTATGGCAAGTTGCATGCTCTAAATTACACCACTGCTTTTTTCGCCTCACTGCTGTCCCAGGCATGGGACAGCAGTACTTGTAAATAAATAATTCTAATGCATCACATTAAAAGCCACAGTGTCTGAATAAGAGGAGTTCAGAACTGAATAAAATACAGAGTTATTTTCAGTACTTCGAACATAAAAATGAATGCTGAATGCTCTCTCATTTATAAAGTGATGGGAATGCTAAAATTAATTTTTTTTTTAGTTTTTTGAAACTTAAAATTGTAGGCTTGTGCAAATAGTGAACTTTAGGTTAGTAGCGAATAGTGATTTCGGTCGATTGAATCTAATTTGAATAGTATATATAATGCATACTAGACAGAAAAATGAGCATAATTGTCATGAGCCAGCAAACCTGCACACTATTTAAAAAATTGAAACAAAGCCTGCGCAAATGCCATTTTTTGCATCAAGAAAAGTGGAAACAATTTCGAACAGTAGCACAATTTGACTTTCGGTAAAATGTAAGTGATAGCCTGTAAAATATGTTACTTTTTAAAATGTGCTCCACTTTGAGCATATAAGTCAGTATAACAAGCTTTTAAACTAAAAAAAAAAATAAATTGATGTGAGGGTAGTATCCTCATTTAACCATGAATAAGGCTTCACAGCATTGCAGATTTCTTCTGGATATATATTTTAATGGTTTAGCACGACTTCACTGCAGTGAAACCATTTTTACAAAGAAATTACATGCTGATTCATATACCTAAATAGGTGCTTTCACGGCTTGGCATCTCTCCACTTCAGTGCAACCACCTTTACAGGGTGTCACATGCGGACTAATACACATATACAACTATTCGTTCGTTTCAAATAATGCGAAATTTTCAATAATTTAAATTCCATTCAAAGCAAATTCAAATACTACATTATTCGCTCGAATATTCGCACAAGCCTATAAAATTGTAATGTAGCAGAATGCAAAAGCTACCGTAGCAATGTTTCTGTTGGACCCATGCATTCGCAACTGAAAGGTGGTCTGTCAAGGTGGTCCGTGGGTAGCTTAAACATAAGAAATACCATGTTCAGATGATCAAGCTAGGTGAGTGTTACAACCGGCCTCCAATATGCCAATGCACAAAAAATGAATGCAGTGACTGTGTCAGCAGGTCGAGAAGGAAAGGTGGAAGGTGACAGTCAGTGCTATCCGTCACATAAACCATGAAATAACCAATGCAACCACCACAGTCTCTGGCGTATCCAGTACATTAGAACGCCAGCGGCTGCCATGTCTATTGCTCCATGTGTTGGCACTCTGTGCAACCTCATCAAAACGAAGCTTGGCCCGTAAATATGGCATTTAGATCTTCTGATGCGACAGCATCAGAGCGCACACTCATACGAAAACCCGCCTCTTCCAAAATTAGAAGAACATTAGCACTATTTCACTAAATCGTCTCAGAAAAATCTTCTGTAAATAAGATTTGGTGACTAACCTAGTTCGTCAAATCGAGTTGGTGGCAACAATAAACTCTATGGGTATTCGCCGGGGAATCAAAATTTCTTTGCAAGATCAGAAACTTTAAAAAGTGGGGAAACTACGTAAAATAACTTTTTATTAAATCGAGTTTTAACTGTACAAAGGTTGTGTGCACTTCTTGTAAGATAAAAAGAAATGGAGAAAGATATTTAATATTATTTGATACACGTAAAGCTGTTTGCATATGAAGGAACTCAATTTGCTGCTCTGCAAAGCTTATTGTGATTCAGAAAAAAAAAAAAAAACGAACCACAGCAACACAGAATGTCGAAGGAGTAGAGTGAAGTTTTACAACAGCAATATGTATCATTCTAAAGAGATGCAAATTGCAACACGGTGGATGACGCAAATAATAAAACTGGTTTTCCAACATTTAGACAAAATAATAGTGCTGTTTGAAATTAAAAAAAAAAAGTTCATTGATAGACAAGGAATTGCTGAATATATGCAAAGTAGTTCATCTGCTTCCTCAGCAACAGTGACGTCTATGATACTGAAATGAAACTACTTTGAACAGCCATGACTTCTATCTGTAATTCTCTTCATAAACTCTAATATATGACAGTGTTCCTCAATATTTGAATGTAAAGTAATATCCAACAGCCTTGAATTCCTAAAACCTCCAAGAAAAAAAAGCAAGGAGTATATTCATATTCAAAATTTCAAATGTTTGCACAATGCTTACTAAAAATTACAATGATATATATGGGCAACATGCACACCATGTAAAATTTCTGCTATGTGTATGACAAAACAAACATGACTAAACATAATACTGTGTAGAAGAAGTACACGGGCATAGACATACTTTTTTGTCAATTAAGGCCAATAATCATTTCAATCTTGAAAGAACACGCAACAAGAACACTTAAATGCACACGATTTATGTCAATATTCATGCGGGATTTATTTCATAACAGAAGTAAATCCATCAATCAGCCCGTCAAAGAAAGGAGCCAACTTATATTTTAGAAATATGGGGCTGACAAAAACAACAAGATATGTCAAATATTTGTTAAGCAGTAGCACCAATAATTTTTGTGTTGAACCAAAAGTTATGTCAGAACATGGTAGCACACATTCAACGTTAGGAAAACTTTGTAATAAATATTCAAGTCTTTATAGATAGTTAAACAACATTGCTGCACTAGCTGTGCAAAACGTCGCAATAGAGAAAGTACCGGACAAAATGATTAAGAATTTCTGACAAAATAACCTAATGATAAACCCTTTTTCACGGCTCTACTCACACGCGCAAATAGCACTAGAGAATTTTTAAAACATTCGCACATTTCGCCCACTCAAAGCGAAGAAAGTAGCTTCTTTGCACGACACGCAAGCAACGCGGCGAAGGCGCACTTGCGTAACACGCAAGTAGTTTCTTCGAAAATTAGGCGATGTTTCTTAATATTCAATCAAGACGAAAAAAGAACAAATTAGCTGACAGCTCGCGCAAGCAAATACGAGCGCAATAACAGGTACCAGTGCCTCGGCTCAAAGCGTGATCACGAGTACACCACAAATCAGGTTGACGCCCCTGCAAAACACGCGGTCGGCTTCATGGCGCAGCACAAAAGCGTTGCGCCGAAGACTTACTTTTGGGAGACCCCCACATTTGAGGATTTATTTTTCTCGCGTCAGTTCTGCAGATCACTCGTTAAGCGCGCGCTTAAAAGGGCTCATCGGCCTCAGAACTAATTTACTGCACCCTCGACTCACCATCCGTTAATGTCGTGCTGAGAGTTGACGCGCACATTGCGCTCGACGAGCGCGATCACGCTGTCTTCATCGCCGTAGCAGGCCGCTTCCCGAAGTTTCTCTTCGAGAATCTTCGCCTTGTTTATCTCCATGCGTTGAATGCAAGCTGCCAAGGAATCCGTCGCGCCGGTCAGATGAGCCCACACGCAAGCAAGAAAAGAAACACCAGCGAGGTTTGATGTCTCAGTATACCAAAAACATGTTTGTTTCACTTGCATGCACGTCGCACATCCGCGTGCAAAAAATAGTTCTAAAGCCTTACACACAAATTATGGTTTTATAAGTAAATAATTTCTTGTAAAGTTGTAAGCAAAAGTTATTACTAAAGACACGCCGTAGGTACGTATTACATCTAACAAGAAAAAATGTGAAAATCTTGTATCAGTTTCTCCCAGACGTCAACAAACATTGTATCACTACGTTATCGTCACGTGGGACTACTTTGCTAAACTTCTTCGGCGTCGGCTTACGTGATTCGAGGTCGTATCGGAAGGTGTGTGTGTGTGTGTGTGTGTGTTTGAACGATGACAACACCGGGTACAGTAAGCGTCACGACTTGATCATGGATGAAGCTAGTCCTTTAGGAGTTTACCTAGTGAAATCCGGCAGTAAAGGAGACCGGCTACTGTTCCGTTATCCGTACGCAGTTGACACGGAGAGTGACACCCATGCCAACAGTGAGTGAAATGACCTACGGCGGCGGACAAAAGCTGGATTTCGGCGTGGCCGTCAGCTGTAGCGCACGCTCCGCAAGGACCACGTGGGACAGTGATCCGTTTACGAATCTTCGCTGTTCTTTCTTTCCAGGGAGGAGGACCAATCCGTACTCGCTGATTCCGAACGAAGACCCGTCGTCGAATATCACAAGGTTCGCACCATTAAACTTTTTTTTTTTTTTTCTTCTCCAACTGCCGTGAACCGTTGCTTCATCGTAGCTAGTATGACGCTGTGTTTATTTACTCCTGGCGTCCAATTTCAGAGCCAGGAGCTGCTCAGAGATCTCCGACAAAAACTTAGTTTTGTAAGTATGTCAGACCGTGTTTTCAATTGGGTTCCACAGGAATTACACAACATTGTAGTGCAATATTTAGGTAAGATTTTTTTTTTACGGTGATGATGCATGGAGTGGGTAAAGATTGCTTTATCTTATTTGTGGGCAGCTAAAAGTAGTTGCATTCAAAACTTCGCTTGCTTTCTTTTCTTTGCTGATCTCCTGTTGGAGAATTTTGAAACGGCTTGGGTGCTAAACTATGCCAAGAAGGCCAAGTAATACCACACAGGCGCCCTGTTAATTTATCAATTCCTTCATTAGAGTGTGTACTGCGTTTTTCAACACATGCTTTGAAGAACTTAAGCTTGTGCATGCGTTCACGCGCCTTCTGGTTGAAGCTTTGACGAGATAAGTAAAGTATTTTTGTGTGTAATCTGACTAACGGTTTGTTCTCGTCTCTTGGCAGAATCACGGACAAAGCCCTGTCGAACCTTTTCGCTACCAAGAGTGAACTGTGCAACAGAAAGTTTGAACTGAAAGTGAACGATGTGCGGTTTGTGGGACACCCCGTCCAGCTGTGTTCGAAACGAGAGACCTCAACATTTCTCATGTTCAATGTTGTCTTCGCCCTCAAGGTAGTACGGATAATATATTAGAATATGTAAAGCATGTACATGTGCTGGTAGTAGATAGAACAGTAACGAAATGACGAGCTTGGCATGTCTGTGCAACAATACAAAAACGGCAAAGAAAATGTTACAGAAGGACACTGGTATATATGCGGTTGGTTTCTTGCCGCTTGGCTTGCTATACGATTTGTCATCCAAATGTTAATACACTGGACTTAGGCTTGCTTCTCAACTATATGTCAGTATATTAAATTGTACAACTTTAATTCGATCAATTCATGTTACTTTGACTGTTGCAGCATTCCAAGGTATCACTCAACTATCCAAGACTCTGATAGATAGCACTCGATCAAAATGAATGGAGTACAAATGAGTTTTATTTCTCAAAGCCTGTGATGTCTTTCTGCGCCTTGATACCTGCTGTGGTAGCTCGGCGACTATTGATATGGTATCTACATGGGCATGAGTTCAGATCTCGGTCGCAGTGGAAGCAAGTGCTAAACTGCCTGTGTGCTTATATATATTGCATGTCAAAGAAGCCCAAATTAATTGAGAGCTGCCATCAACTGCTTGCCTAATGATCACATCATTGTTTTGGCCTACATTTCTTGGCCTCAAAGTGCAAGTGAACCATCTTACAACAAGTAGTGTTTTAATGCCACCTCGCTGTTCAATTGTCACATTTCTGTTGCTGTTTACTGGTAACTGACCCACATACCTGAGCACTCATCTGTACTGTTGACAAATTTTTCAATAAGTAGTCTTTGCTGAATTTCTCATGTTTTCTTTCTATCAGTAACAGCTATGCATATGGAGGGATGCCACTGGTTGGTGTCAAATAAACTGAAGCAGCGTACTTCTCCATGAAAATTTGATTGAATTTTCATTCTCTAATCTTGCATTGCCATTCGCTGGGACATCGCAGTGTATTTGCATTGCTAGTGTCCAAATTAACGGATGCGTATTGTTGCTATTTCACACCTTTTTCGCATTCTGTGTAGGCCAATGCCAGTCACGACATCGTCAGCTTTTATCACGACTTCACACATAAGATTGCAATAGCCCTGTCTTCCGAAGAGAACCGCTGCAATTACCTGAGTTTCGAACTTAAGATCATGCTGCGAGCTCATGATGACACTGTGGCAATGCCTGAAGGTGAGCCAACCGTATGCTCATTCTTTTGATATATATGCTCTTTGGCGGGATGGTATGCAGCGCCCAAGAGCTTTCTTTCAAGGTGCCTCTGATCTCAGCAACACTTTGAAGTCTTAGCATTTTGAGGAACCATTAGAGTGTGTTTATAGGGCCAGTAAACAACCCCGAGGTCCAGATTTTGATATGAAGAAAAATATGTGCCCTTTTGCTGCCGAAAGAATTTTGCAAATACATGCTATAATAAGGACGCTGCAGGGGCTAGAACATCAGTTCCACTGGTTTCAAATTTTCATGCGGCCTCGCCACCTTTCTCCGCCACAGGGAGGGGGGAGGTGTAGCTTGTCATGACTCCGCCAACGTCGGCCATGTGACACGGCGTCGATGATACGTCCTTGGCGCGCAGCCAATGCCCGAGCATGGCATTCCCGACTTGAGTACATGTCATAGCGGTGCAGGGATGAAGTGCGTTTCGAGGAGCACCCTTTAAGCAGTAAAGTAGTGAAACGCCTCTTTCTTTCGAAGGCTTTTGTTCTGGCAACACCCCTTCTTGCAGTAGTCTTGGGCTCTACAAAACGGCAGAGGGCAGCACAGGAAAAGGAGGATGTGACCTGCCTGGTTGAAACTGCATCACCGCAGGGCCAGGGCACTGTTCTGTAGGGCAAAGGCCTAATCGGCGACACCTCAGTGGTACGGCAAGTTGCCCATGGTCAAGCTTGCATCACTGAGCGTATGAGGGGATGGGCCAGAAAAAGAGGTGCAGGAATTGTTTTTCGAAATGGAGGATCTGTGTTGTGTGCAGTGTTGTAATATTTGGAAAATGTGATTGCCACCGTACGAATTGACGAGTTTGTTTGGGGGATGTAAAAAAAAAAAAAAAAGTCGCAGCTTGTTTACCCGTCTTTTAGCAAATGATTGCTGCTGATGCAAGCATGGCGCATCCCTGTGCAAGCCTTAATTAAGCCTGATTCACACAGCTGTCACACTTTGTCTTGGTGCCTGTCTCATGACAGCTTTTTCATTTTCTCCAAAAAAATGATAGATGGCATTAGCCAGTGCTGTTAATGTTTCCATCATCATATTTATTGGGATGTTAAACCCCACATATCAATTCGTCACATTTATGAAGAAAAGACGGCTATAAAATGTATGGTCACAAAGGATGCCAATGCGGTGACTGTTGTGGGACGGAGCGTTTGACAGCCGTGGGAATCCAGCCTTATTGTACTCTGCCAAAGTGAACACTTATTTTCTGTAATGCACCTTCTCACTGTAAGTATTAAGGTTTGTGATCAGTAAAGTTAATTAATGGAAATATGGATAGATGTTTCAATACCAGAATATTCTTGAATGTTTGTTTTGAAGGGGTGAATGCTGTGGTGCTCAGCGTGAGTTGGCTTGATTGACGCTGTTTTAAGTGTGCCATCATTGGCAGACGCTTGACAAGCTTTGCGCTGCAGTTGTGAAAGGAACGCTTAAAAAAGCTTTCCTATCACTGAAAGTGTGAGCAATTGACATTGCCCTTTCATGCATGATGACTTGCTGTCAACTATGTTGGTCCTGAAGTAGAGGGCGTTTTCTTCTCAATGTACAAACAGGACTTTTCCAGGTGAAAACTTCAGGTGGACGCCGATTTCATTTGACCTGCTTCACGGCCAATTTACATATTTTGGGAGAATCGCAGATCATTTAGTTATGCAATTAAATGTCAATTCGCAGTACAGACCACCAATTCAGAAATGTTTGGTGCAATACTGGTTGCGAAATGCATTGGTGTTTCATGCGATTCTTTCTTCATGCTGCACATAGAGACGGCTTTCCAGGATAATTAAAAACAGAAAAATTAATGAATTTCACTCCAAATTCGCACACCACTGCGTTGTCTCTTTGTCTTTTGACCAGACATCGGGGAATCACCGTACTACCTGATCCTAAAACGCAGTCAACTAGCCCGGGATTTACAGCGCGCCTACAACGAGTGAGTTGGCCTTTTTACATTTATGGTGCCCTGGCGGTGCATTGGAGCATACATGGCACGTGTTATGAGCAAGAAAACTGACTGATCAAGGTTCTGTCCTTGGAATGGCTGCTGGAAGTGTCGGGCATCACAACGAACAGAGGGAGACACAGACACTGAACACAGAGCACTTTTATTAGCGAGGTAGTGTTAAAAAGCTCGTTTGGCAGAAATTCCAGCGTCGACGTTGGTGTTGTCTCTGAGTATAGTGGGCATGCCTTTAGCATTGGCCACTGTTTACTAAATCAGGTAAAGGAAGTATGAGTAGTGAAAAGTTGGTTTATTAAGTACAGATGCGGATCTTAAGATTTTTCATTCTGCTTGCCGAAGTTAAGTGAATGTGAAACTTGGCATTCTTACTCACCATCTTTTTTTTTTAAGGTTCA